AAGACGACCACACTCCCTCACAGCCACAGTCACTACATTTATCTAACAGCTGAAACATTGCAAAGGTGTCACTTCGGACTCTGGGTAATTATGACAGCATGTCCTGCTATTTTGAGAGTTTGAACAAACCAGACCATCTATTAATGTAGAAAATAGTCAGCACATTAAACCATTATGAAAGTAATCATTAGTTAGCTCATTGTTCAAAATGAGCTCCAACTACAACAGTTAAGTCAACTTGTGCATCGGTAATAACAATAAAACAAATGATATAATATAATAGTATAGTAAGGCACAAGGCTACTTCACTAATTTAGCTAGCTAATGTAAGATACAAATGCTGTCGAGGCCTCACTGCTTGTAAAATAAAGAGCACAAAATGATACTTACCCAAGCCCCACAGTTCTCCCTCATTTTTTGTGATCACATGACTGACAAAGCCGTGCTCTGATAGGCCAGAAGTCGGCTTGATTGCATTCGGGCTCGATTGCTTATCCTGTCTGAGTAGCCCGGATGATGCTGCATCGCAATTTTGGACATCGAATTTTATACACCGACATTTTTGACGTAGATATTTTTTCACTTTAATTTTTGGGATCTAATTTTAAAAATTCGAATTTTTTTACATGATTTTCAAAGTAATTATTTTCAATGCTATAAATTTGGTGTCTAATAAAATTCAAATGCTTCTGTCTCTTGTTTGCTTCCATAAGTAAGTCTTCAACTTTTGAATTAATTGTAAAGATACCTGCGAGCTGCCTGCTGAACCGTTATGTCCCACAGAGTAATGCCTTACTTGCTTAGTTATTGCATAGGGATTTGTCAGGTTCTAATTTTTCCTCAGATAAACCACATAATTGGAATTGAAAGAACTGGAGACAGTGCCAAGGCCCAGTGCAGTCTTCCCTCCTCCAGCTCCTGCAAGGGATTTCAATTGAAACACTACTAATCTAGAAAATCTATGAAAGGTTAAAGTGGACACCTGCTGTCCTCCATGCCTTTCTGAATAATTTATGTGAAATGCAGAGTAGGAGATGCTGTCTTTAAGACTGCTCTATTCCCCTTACCGTATTAATATGCAACATTGCAAGTCTTACCATAAGAAAGGAGCTAATAAAAGGTTGAAAGGATAACACAGAACAAAATTCATTCATTCATTTTTTTTACATCCAGTACCTTGATTTTTGACCTCTTTCCTTCTTTTGCACTCTTTTTCTATTTTTCTGGGGACAGTTAAACCACCATTGTGCTGTCCATAAATATAAAAACGGAAAATAGAAAATTATTAGATTGTGTCTTCTGTTGGATGAAAACTAATGTTTGTTGTACACAGCTGCTGTTAAATTGAACAGACTTCTTTCTGCGGATTAATAACACTGTACATAGTACATAGTGTATATTCCCTTGATCAGAGTGTCCTCCTTAGCAACAGTCTGCTATCCTTAGCAGCGGTCTGCTCGCGAAGAAAAGCAGACTTCTGGAATGTCCATATTGACAAATCAGAATCAAGTATTCAACTAATCATGGGAAAAGCCACCTGAGATTAACTGCTACAAATTCACAATTTGGTGAAGGGCCAGTTGTGCAAACGCATAAATTAAATGATTACCTTGTCATTTATAATAGTACGTAAAAAAGGGAGTTTCTCTCACACACACAGTGAGAGTTTGGCTGAGATAAGTGTCCTTTTTCCAACTTTTGCCAAGAGACCAGCTTCAGAGCAATCACCTACCAGTGTTGGCCCCCATCGCTTAGACTGACAAACAACGACGCAGCATATAGATGACGTTATGGATTACTGTTCACATTCACATTTTAACATTTCAAAGTCAAAGTTGATTTGTAAGAGCCACAGTCCACAAAGAGAGGCAGATGCTCTGGCTTTAGTTGAAAGCGCTGATGCTGCCCGAAGGTTAATCCATAGGTTAATCCAATATGTCTTTCACTTTGAAAAAATTATTGATAATCCATCATTATGTAAAAATCGGAGATTTTATATTAGCTGCTAATGGTAGCCACCAGAGTGTATCGCAGCTTCCAGTTCCGGGGCATTCTACCTGCGCAGAACGCATTCACCAATGGCTAATGGCTCTAACGGTTAAAAAGAGGTGTCTATCATCAAAATCGAATGAGGGGGGCCAGAGATATGGAAAATCCACCCAAATGACCCCCGAAGTGGTTTTTTTTCCCTAAAACTCTCTAAAAAGGTCAAATTTCACTTGTTTTGCATTAATCTTGATACAGGGTACTTATATGTTATAGTTTGGATTCCTAAAGCTTTTTGTCTACTATCCCATCATTCAATGCTTTGTTTTTGGACGGACACTATAATTTACATTTTCTTTACTATGTTCAATCTGAATTTATTTTAAAATAAAAACATCTATATTGATTCTGACACTTCTACAACCAACTCACAGGTTTATCATTGCTTTGAGAAAAAGGATTATTAATGTATCCATTTTAGAAGGGAAGATATGGTCATTTGTTCTGGGAATGTACATTTTGAGCCTGAGACTTGAAAAACAGGCTCAGGGCTAAACAGGCTAAGTAGATTGAGGGTTTAATATTTCGAGCCTCATACACAAGGCGTTCTGGTACATGTAGGCACTGCAAGACTGAGTATGAAGGTAATTTGGCGATGTGAACTTCAATGACAATCTCAATGAACTCCAGCATTGACTGGAAATACATTTTTGTGAATATAGCATACTGAAACTCATGTCTAAAGTTCCTGCTACAGTGTGATTTTCAAAATGTAAATGCAATTGTTGTTATGTTTGATTAGCATACAGAATATGAAGATTCAAGGATTGTCTGTTAAAAAGAACTAGGCACTGATTGTGAAATAAATCGGAGCAAAAACCCATCCACATAATACATGCAATATCAAATAGATCTTTCTCACTGTGTTGTTTCTGTTTCCATTTAAATGTAAGCCGCTGTCAAAGAGTGGAGAGGATACTCTGCTGTGATCTGTGGACGGCCCAGGGGAACCTGAAAAAGAAAGGAAGATCGTTCATGTGAAAAATATATTTCATGCATTTAACCCAATTTCATGTTGTGTCTTTTCTTCAGAAACTAAAAAACAAAAACAATGGAAAAGACCATTGCCAAAGTTAAGATATTGACTTTATTCCAGGCCCTGCCTTTGAGTCATACAGTCTCAGTTTCAGACAGCGTCCAAAAGAGACACATTTTGCTCTTTGATATGATATTAGCTTGGCGTTAGAGGACCTTCTTTCTGATTCAGGCCCACTCAGTGAAGCTTGGCAGGCTGCTCCTGGCCTTTTCCTGCTTGTCATTTGTGCCATGGTGAAACAAAGGGGCACTTAGAGAGTAAGGATTTGGAACTTTTTTTCCTCAGGCAAAAAAATGTGCCTCAGTGGCCCAACACCACACAGCTAAACCTGAGCTTAGCTGCACAGAGACCTTCCTCTGAATGTTACCTTTTTTGAAACATATAAAGGCTGAATTTCTCACGGCTCTGTTTGAATTTATGAGAATGCGGTGGCTTTAAATATTCATGAAGGCCTATTAGTATTAATCATTTTTCTAAATCTGTTTGCTTTTCCTAATTAGGTAAATTGCCAGAAAATATAATTTTGTTTTCTGGGAGAGACAAAAACAAATGTATAAAATGTTGTTCAATCACCTTTTTGCTTACAGCTAATTCATAAAACAACACTTATTAGTGGTTATGTAAGTTTGTATCCAACAGCTTGTGTGAATGAATAAAGATCCGTTGAGCTACATGATGCTCTAACACTTTTTGCTTGGCTAGGTTAACTTTAGACGTTTAAAAGATTGTTATATATTTTGTACAGTTATAATATTTTCATTTTTGGTGGAACTGAGATGAGAAGATTGACAACTGTTTAGTAAGAAGCTGCAGAAAGAGCTAGGCTAGTTGATTACTTGAAGGACACAGCAGAAAGCAAGCTCTGCAAAAGATACAAAAAATATACCTATCAGACCGCTAAATCTCACAAAGTAACATGTTCTATTATATTAATCTGTCCAAAACCAAAGTGTAAAATTGACAAATGTAACTTTGGGCAGCCATGGTAACTGTTTCCCCCACTTCAGTCCTTGTAGTAAGTCAAGATAACAGCCTAGCGATAGCTTTGTATTTAGCATACAGTTAGCTTTCAGTAAGAGAACAACCACACAAACTCTTCTTGTAAAATTTAGTGTATACATTCTGACGAAGTAATGTCTCGAAATTTACCAAAAAACCAACAATCTTAGGCTACTTTCTAGTATTTTTACAAGGTTTCAAATAAATCATTGAGTATTCTTCACTCAGAGTTGCGTACCTGATTTCTCACTTTTTACAGGCTCCACATGGAGGATTTTAGTGCCTGTTTTCATCTGTATAAGCTGCTGAAGGTAAATACAGGAGCAGAAGATTGCAGCTCTGGGTGTTTCTGACTTTACTGCATGCCACTGGCCATGGAGCATGACGATTTATAACTTTGAAATAAATGCTCATCTATTGAACAGCGTCAAGGTGCGCAAAAAAAGACAATCTCCCATGAATGTGTTTTATTCCTTTATGGCTAAAAATGCTCAATGAAATGAAGTTTATTGGGAGATTGCATGACATCAAACACAGTAGGACTCTTACCTAGAGGCAGTTTAAGAAATGATGGAACTTCTCGCAGGTAGCGAACAGTAATGGTGACCTCATCTCCTGCAGTGCGCAAGAGGTGAACCTGACAGGAGCGGGAGGCGGAGAGAGAGATTGAGATTAAGATAGATAGAACGTCAGAAAGAACGATTGTGAGTGATGCAGCGAGATAACAATTGAATCTCATACACTCATGTCAAGATGTACACAGCCTGAACAAACAAAATATAACAGGGAATGAGGAGGTTTGTGAAAGTGGCTTCACTCCACCAAAGATAGAATTTGAAGGCCGACGTTTCTCTAGTGACAGGCGGCAGCAACCAGATGACATCGAAAAGTAATTACTGAATATCTGATGTCTGAAGGATATCAACTACGTCCTCAATAAGCGTCTAGTCAATCCAAGGAAGGTGAAGTTTAAAGGGCAATCTATTAACGCTGTCTATCTTCCGGTGGTGGCGAAGTCGATAGGGAGTTGGCTTGGCAACTGGAAGGTCACCAGTTCAAGTCCCGGCAAGACCAAGTGCTACCGAGGTGTCCCTGAGCAAGGCACCGTTCCCTACACTGCTCCCCGGGCGCCGTTCAAAATGGCAGCACACTGCTTCTAACACTAGGATGGGTCAAATGCAGAGAAACAATTTCCCCACGAGGGATTAATAAAAGTCCATCTTATCTTAGAAAAAAAGAGAAAATAAAACGGTAAATAAGACACTTGACTGTCACATGAAAAACGCAAGGTCACGTCTACACTCCACTAAATGCATGTCTGCTATCAAATCCCTCACTTTAGCTTGGCTTTTGCCTGAACATTTGTCAGTGCTGCAAAGTGTGACAGCCTGCCATTAAAAGCTCTGGATTTTGTTCTGAAGAGAGACTGCTCATTATGCATTTTTACGCTCGGGAGGTAAGTAGAGTGAACAGCTGTTTGGGGCTGCACAAGGAGACAGGGACGACAGACATGGGATGAGTGTGTGCTTGTGTGTGGGGATAGTTGCAGAGAATAAAGGAATTATTTAACAAAGGGAGAAGATTTATTGAGAGCCACTGGGATTTGGTGTTAAACCTGGGAGAAAGATGGAAAAGCAATGGAAGGATGGATGGAAATATTATACAACAGTTAATCGCAAATATACTCACAACTTCTTCATGGGTACAAGGCTTGACATTTATACCGTTGACCTAAAGAAACAGACAGAAAAAGTGGAAAAGCACATTAGTAATTATACAGGGTAGAAAGTGTGTATTTTTTTAATCAAACCTACTTGCCTATTTGCTGCAGGGAAACTGCCAGGGGGATGGCTAAGGGTGGAATATAATTGACAACCCTTGGTACCCAGATTACAAGAGTCAGCAGGTGATACATAGGTGGACAGTAGGGCTGTAACTGTTTGTGTATTCGTACTGAATTGTTATTGTACAGACCTGTAGCACTTTTGGGAAAGTATGTTCAGTGCTCCTACTCGGTAAACGGTTACTCGGAAAATGGTAAAAGTTGCCAGTGGGCGTAATGCTACCTCATTCCCAGCAGAAGGATTGTTTGTCGGTCTTTCACAATTGCACTACTGTATGTTTAAAATAAATTAAAATCAGTTCCCAACACCAAGAGGCACATGACAAAAACAAACAAAAAGGAAACACAAAATGATCACAAAGAACTGCAAAGTCACAAAAAGACATGCAAAACAACCACAAAGAGAGTCCAAACAACTACGATGAGATGAAAAAAGGACGACAAAGAAAATATGAAACAAAAGATACAAAAAACAACGACAGTGTCTTAGAATGACGACAACAAGATGCAAAACAACAACAAGGAGATGCTAAACGACCATCAAAAGATTACAAAAAATACGAGATGCTTAAATAAATGCACACAGAGAAACACACAACCACAAGGCAACAAACAACAACGACAAAGAAAATATCAAAAAATCGCAAAGAGATACAATATAACCAGAAAGTTAGAAAAAAAAGGGCTTTATGGAGATGAAAGATGACCAAAAAGAGAACAAAAAAGAGCTCAAAAAATTAAAAACGATCACAATGGATGCAAAACGAGAAACAAAACTTTTCACAGATACAAAGTAACCACAACCTAAAATGACTACCAAAGGTGGAAAACGACCAACAAAAGATTAAAAAAACAACTATGATATGCGAAATCTCAACAACAAATTACTTGCCACAAAGCAACACAAAATAACCAGAATACAATTCAAACTATTCCAGAGAGATACAATATAACCAAAGCATTTTTTAGAACTACCGCATAATAAACAAAAGGACCAAATAGAGAAAGAAAATAGATTAAATATGACAAAGAGAAAAAAACAAAGGCAAAACAACCACAAGGGAAGAAAAACTACAAATAGAAGGACAACAATCACAGAAGTACAAAATAAGCAGAACATTTTCTAAATCAAACCACAAAAAGATGCAAAACCACCACAGGGAGAGGAAAACTACCAAAATAAATACCAAACCATCACAAAGAGATACAAAATAATCCCAAAGCGTCTCAAAGAGTAACCATACAATCACAGAGATAAAACAATAATCATGAAGCGTTTTAAAACGACGACATTGAGATAATAACTACCACAAGGAGAAATATAAATCGTCAAAGGGACACAAAGGGACCATCAATATATGCAAAACAACTACGATAGCCAAAATGACCCGAAAGAGAATTGTTTTACCACAAAAGGTCTTAAAATGAACATCAAGTAAAAAATAACAAACTCGCAAGATGACCACATCTGAGAGAATTCTTATGTCAAGGCCTATTGTCTCACAATCTTCCATGGCTGAGGGCTATAGCAGCTACGTAAGGGATAATGTGCTGCGACGCGGTCATTATGGGGAAAAGAACACCGACAGGCTGATCAGGAGCCGACGCGAAGCGGAGGGATCTAGATTGATTTCTAGATTGATTTCATATTAGATTATAGGGCTTTTTAAACCCATCCTATGGCTTTTAGTATGCAAATAGATGCAATATTCTGCTGTGTGAAAATTCAATATCATTGCAAATAAATATGAAACAGTGTTGATCCAAAGGAAAGAGCACTAGCAATCCAACTCATAATATAATCCATAATAACTCCCAGTTTGAGTGGTAATCTTGCCTGGCTGTCCAATGAATCATCTTGATATTCAGGATAAACAGCACACTCAATAAACCTGCCAGACAGATTCAAATTAACTTTCAAAAGATTCAATTAATATCTCGACTTTTGGGTTTCCATGATAATTCTGATGAACAGAAACTATTATGCATTCGTGACCTTATGATTATTCTATGACGGAAACTGACAATGGGGTGTTCGTTTGAGAAATTGAATTGATTAAAAAATATATATATTTGACATTTGATATATATTTTTAATTGACTCAGACAATTAAATAGTCATTTGATTAAAATCAGGCAGTTCAAAGTTCAAAATATTCTCTTTTAATTTTCGAAATGAAATAACTGTCAAAACATAAACGGGTTGAATCTAAAATGTGACACTCTTGGCAGTGACCCGAATCGACCTTCAATGGAATAAGCCTGTACCAACCTGCAACACAGCGTCCCCGACGAACAGCTTCCCCGTCTGATCGGCTGCAGAGAAGTTAATGAAAACATTACATTGCATTTAGCTGACGCTTTTATCCAAAGCGACTTACAATACGTGCATTCGACCAGGAAGATACAACCTTGAAGAAAACAGAATCATATAAGTACATCAGGTTTCATAGAGCCAAACATTTCAAGTGCTACTCAACTGGCTTTAGATAAGCCAGCCCTTTATTAATATATAAGTGCTTTGTTAGTAATTTTATCGCTCAAAGTGGAGTCGAAAGAGAGACAATAACTGCTCATTTCATACATGGTAATGTGGAGGAAATAGCAATCAGTAAGTGTGTTTAACTAATCTCTGGCTACAGCTCGGAAAAGAACACAGGACAGCATGAAATCTGAAACTAATCATGATATACACTCATTTGCAGCTGCAAATGAGTGTATATCATGATTAGTTTCAGATTTCATGCTGTCCTGTGTTCTTTTCCGAGCTGTAGCCAGAGATTAGTTAAACACACTTACTGATTGCTNTATATATATATATATTATTATCGGTTATCGGTATCGGTCCTGAGAAGCAGGAAGTTATCGGTATCGGTTTCAAAAAACCAATATCGTGCATCCCTAGCAATTATATTGCTTATTGTCTGTAAACAGTGTTGCCGTGAAGTTTAAAAAAGAGCTAGCTTGTAGTCGTTAGTGTAGCATTTAGCGGCTAAAAAGTTGTATTTGTTGGTGACGGAAAAAAAGGCTAAAACAAGAACAGTATAAATTGTCGACTTGGATACAACGCCAAGTTATTATTCCTGATGCTCAGAGTCAAACTGTGACCTCAGTTGTGTTTTAATGTGTCTGCGACAACAACATTTTGAGTAGTGCAGGCAGCTTGTTCTGCTGCCCCCTGGTGGCCAACAAATCAATTAATGCAGCTTTAAGAACTCTGACCTGTGAATCAATCTGAGACTAATAACAGGTCAGAATTTCTGGTTTTAACCCATTTTTTTAACTATTAAAAAGTATCATTTCACAATAATAAGTGGAATTTTGTTATACGTATAACATATGCCATAACTTTTTTAATTACTGCCTTATTGGGATCTAGCAGTGTCCTGATCGCTATAATAATAAAAAAAACTTATATTTTACTGCATTATCCTAGAAATCCTAATAATACAGGTCACCTACATGTTTGATTTATGTTATTGCAGAACAAATGGAATTTCCTTGTGAAAATTCATTACATATTATTACATTTCTGTAGTACAGCTTGTTCCCATGAAAGGCAGTATTCTATAGCATTAATAGTCTTTTAATTTGTATTAAAGAAATAGAAGTAGGGTCCGTTTGATCAATGGACTTATACCCTACCAATTCAGTTCACGTGCTTGTTATAAAAATAGAAAATCTGCAGTCTACCTTATTATGAGAGCTGATTAATTGAGTGTAAATTGAAACCTTTCACTGATGTTTGATTAATGATGTCCAGTACTGTAATTAAATAGCCACTTGGATGGTTCATATTCTTATCATCATTGGTCATGGAGAAAATTGACTACGTTATTGGGGAAAAGCCAAGGCCTGTTCGATCCCTAACATTTTTTGCATGCTTGATGTTTCAAATATAGGGATGGCATTTTTTTTTTTTAAATCAATCAGGATAATGAAAGAAATCATCTTTACTATATTACACTGTTTTACAGAGTCTTTTATTTCAGTATCTGTTTCCTTATTTATCTGTTTATTTTCATCTAGAGTTTCTACTTTATTTGTAATTTGAATGAATAAGTTCCTTGCGCCAGAATCTAATAAAGTACTGCATAGTGTTTGCCTCGGAAATAACCTTATAGAAAATCTCTCATCTTTTCCTCTTATAAAGTTGAGGGGATTGAATCAAACCGCTTTGCTTTGTAAACTAAGAATATCTATGTCATTTTGTTATATTTGATTGTTTTCCAACTATTTCTTTTAGTAAATCTCCAGTATTGTTTGTATTATTCCCTATGGTGGCCAACAAGTGCAAACACGCTTCATCGGCCGGAAACATTTCCGTTGAAAGAAACCATCGCAGCCTAATAAGGCAAATGAAGAAACATGTTTAACACTTGATATAACTGCAAAACGCTGCAAATAAAAAACTCAACACACAATGGAAACAGGGATACTAAAATTGGATCACACAGCTGGGACCAAATCGCTTGTTGACATTTGGGCATTATAAAGTTGGCCGACCGTCACTGCCGGCACTCTTAGCTGGTTTCATAATATACGTCTATCGTCAGTATATTTGAAATGACTTGGTTAGCTATCATAGCTAGCTAGCTTACAGCAGATCTGCAATAATACCTGAAGGAATCATGCGGTCACATTGTTAAAATAAGCCAATACAACTTACATTTTAGGTACGTTTCCAGTCGCAGCGACGGGTCGATTTTATATTCCCAAAACATCAACAAGCACTCCGGTTCCAGCTGTGTGCATCACTTTTTGATGTCCCCATTTCTGTTGTGTTTTGAGCTTCTTGCAGCGACTTTTATTTGCAGCGTATTGTATTTACAGCATTTGGTTTATGCAGCACTTTCAGTAAACCCTGCGCATGTGTTGTCAAGTTGGTGAAGATTTTTCTTCACTTGCATGTGTTTTGGCACATTTTTGTTTCTGTTCGCATCGTTCTTGAAACTGTAGCGTGTAATGGAGATGTTTTTGACAGTGGTAGCGCGTTTGCACCTGTCAGTCACCGTACTCCTCAGATATAAATCATACAACATGAAGAAGTCCTAGCTTATCCCTATACTAAATGGATATATGCAATGTGAAATTGTAATACTATAAACTGTATTTCATCTGGGTCTGTCAATTAGGTTTTGATTGGACATTTCCTTTTATGGGCATGTCCATTTTTGTATCGTGTGGCCCTGTTTATTTTTACTGTGTGTGTGTGTGTGTGTGTGTGTGTGTGTGTGTGTGTGTGTGTGTGTGTGTGTGTGTGTGTGTGTGTGTGTGTGTGTGTGTGTGTGTGTGTGTGTGTGTCAGAGAGAGGTGACATTGTCCCTGGCAGAAATATGATCCAGGTCGGGGCTCAGGTGGCTCTGGTTTGTCTCTGATCAGAGCTGACACACACACACTCTCCCTGTCTCTTTCTTGATTTAGCTCAATCTCGCTATGATTTGTAATCCTCTCCACACACACATACACACACCGCCTTGTACACAGAGCTGTGCTGTAAGCCCTATCAATCTTTTTGAACACAGCAGCCCAGCATCCTTTGCTCTCTCACACCTGATGCAAAGTGCTGAATAAAGACATCTCACCGGGTGGAGGATGCTTTAATTCTTCGCTGCTCCTTGAGTGTACAGTGTTGCTTTTCACTTGAATAGATCACCTCATGAAAAGGATCCTGCTTGGTATACTGCTTCAAAGCATACCAAATTTGATACAAGCTGTTGATACACAGCTGAAAGAATGAGGACACACTGATTGAACTGCTGTGAACAAAATGGAATCTGGCCGGGTATTCAGAAAATTGTCCGGAATGTTTTTTGTTGGTTTGGAAAATAATTTTCTTAAGAGGGATTGGCCTTGTTATTATAAGACTATAAAACTTTCTGCGATCTGGTTTCTAACACTGGGATTTAATTTGTGCAACAATTCAAACCGTTGCATCGTCTTTTGACAGTTAACATTGCCTCGCCTCAGGGTGGAGGATTGTGCAGGTCGTGCTTCGGGCAGCTTTGATCAGACTGCATGTATCACAGCACTGACTATGAGTATGAATCATTTTCCTCAGGCTTGTAGGAGCCAAAAGGTCAACGTGCAAACAGCTATCCATTCTGCTGGATTACTTGTTTTTTACACAAGCAGTTCCAGTTTGGCTTTCTTTATAGCGTAATAATGCACCTTTATTGCATCTAAAGGAGCATTTTTTTTCAATCGATATACTGTACACTCCTTATACACAATCTCATTTGTTGTCAGCTTAACCCGATGTCGACTAGTAGACCTTTGCAGGGTTGTAGCTACCTATGAGGAAACGTATTCACTACCTCCGTGTTTGAAGATATTTGAACAACCTAAAGAGGAGTTTACATCATCCAGGTGGCAGGTTTTGGAGACTGGTCCTGATACTGTTTTGGACTATTTGAAGACTACAAATAATGATCTGTTTTAAGACATATGTATGTCTAATATCGATTTCCCACAACGTGTGACCTTATCAAATGTTTTTAAAATGACATCTACTTATTCTCTCTCACCAAGAAATCAAAATTCTACAAATATCCTAATAGAAAATATCTCAGATACATGTGAAAATATAAAGTGTTAAGTGTATATCATTCTGAAGTGATAATAATCCAAACATGTTTTTGAAAGAGGGGGACTTTAAATTGGACTCCTTTTAGGCAAAATCTTTAAAATATATTGAAATACTGTCAGGGAGTCAGGCTTTATCTACCAGGATTATATGCAGGGATATGGAGATCCATTTAATCAGAAACATTTGAGAATATCTTTATTTTTTCAGGCTGATTACGTTTGTTTTTGTTGATTTCCCATGCATTTATTTAATGTTATGGTTGAACAGTATTTCTTCAATCCAGCCTATGATAGCAATGCAACTAATTGGACTTAATCCAACGTCATTTCCAGAACTTAATCTATAGAAGAAAGTCTGATAAAATTATCTGCATTTTTTATTAACAGTGCTTTTATTTTTTTTGTGTTTTTATGAAGCAAGATCTACTATTTTTGTAACTTCTGTGTTGGTAGGATTTTGTTATCTGTTCACTGACTGACTCCATTTTCCCCCCTTTATCTCAGCTGCTGAGTTAGTGCAATGGGATTTCCCAATCGCATGAGGATAATCACAGGTCATGATGAGGGATGAAATATACATATCTTAAAGGAAGGTGGAAAGGCATCTTCCCCGGGCTCGACTTTTCCTGGTGTTTGCCGACCGCTTTCGGCTGGAAAAGTTGTGTCTGTGCCTCGCCGTTTGATCACCAAGAAAAATCCTCCTTATGTCAAACTTCCTCCGACTCCCGACTT